TTCTGTGCTGATGTGCTGTTCTAGTCGTTTTTGGATAATCTTCCGTAGAATCTTGCTTGCATGTGAAATCAATGATATTGTTCTGTAGTTTCCACACTCAGTTGGGTCACCCTTCTTTGGAATGGGAACAAATATAGATCTCTTCCAGTCAGTTGGCCAAGTGGTTGTTCTCCAGATTTCTTGGTACAACTTGGTGAGCACATCCAGGGCAACATCTGTTATCTGAAATACTTCAATTGGTGTACCATCTATTCCTGGGGCCTTATTTTTTGCTATTTCCTTCAAAGCAGCTTGAACTTCTTCCTTCATCATCATAGGCTCTTGCTCATATGTTATTTCATTAAATTCTTCTGTATATGCCAATTCCTTTCTATACAATGACTCAGTATATTCCTTCCAACTCAGAACATTTAATTGTGCTAATGCAAAACCTCTGATGCATAACAGGTGATTGCGAAGACCATGGCCTGTATCAGACGCACCTTAGTCTCCAAAGAGACACCATTGCTCCTCAACACTTTGGAGAGGTCCCTAACAGCAGACTTTCCCATTGCAATGTGCCTTTTAATTTCCTGGCTGCTGGTGCCAAGAGTGTTGACTGTGGAGCCAAGCAAACTAAAGCTGTGTACAATCTCAATCTCTTCACCATCCATCCTGATGCTGCCAATTGGTCCAGTGGTGAGAATCTTTGTCTTCTTGACATTGAGCCTCAATCCATATTGTAGGCTGCAGTCCTTGACACTCTGCAGCAGGCGCTTCAAGTCCTCCTCAGTTTCAGCAAGCAGGGTTGTATCATCCACATAACGCAGATTGTTGATAAATCGTCCTTTGAGTGTTTTATAGATGTCTTTCCACTCTCTTCTTGCACGCATGGTTTCTGCTGAGAAATCGGCACTTAATCTTATCTGTTCTCCTTTGTAGGTTACTCTTTGTTTCTCTCTTGCTGCTTTCAGGATTCTCTCCTTATCTTTGGTTCTGGCAAATTTAACTATGATATGCCTTGGTGTTTTTCTTTTGGGGTCTATTCTATATGGTGTTTGCTCAGCTTCTTGAATATATATTCTCTCATTCTTCATTATGCCTGGCAAGTTTTCCTCTAGTAATTCTTCCACAACTTTTTCGGTGTCTTTACTTGCTTCTGCCCATTCTGGGATTTCAATGATGCGCATGTTGTTTCTCTTGATGGTGTCCCACATTATTCTTAGATTTTCTTCTTTTCCCTATCTTTTTTATTCTGCTTTTTGCTCTAGCAGATCAGTGGTGACAATTCTATCTTCTATTTCACTGGTTCTGTGTTCTATCTCTTCAATTCTACTTATGTGTCCCTCCATCTGACAGCATCTGAAACATTGGACCTCATATTTTAGAGTATGGTTTCTTGTTTTTCCGGTACCTCTAGTGCTTCGTTTGTTTTATCTGCATTGTTCTGGATTGGGTTTTGTTTGTTTGTTTGTTTGTTTTTAGCTCCTCCTGGTTTTTGCTTATAGTGTCCTGTAGTTCTTTGAGTTTGTTTTTCATCTATTGAAAATATTCAATCATTGTTCTTTTAAATTCTGTGTCAAAAAGTTCCATCAGACTTTCTGGCTTCAGGAAATCCATTGCTACTGTGTCATCCTTTGGCGGTAACATCTTGTTTTGTGTTTGTGTAGTGTTTAGGGTAGCTTGTTTTCTTCGAGACATTGATATATTCTTGATCTGAAGACAGTTTCTCTGAATTTCTGACTCAAGGAAAAGGTCAGTTCAGAGCCTGTGAGAGCAGCCTTTTTAGGTAAGTCAGATCCAGGTGCTCTTGATTAAAGGCAGGTTGATTGACTGGTCATGTAGGCATAGGTGTGGAGCCAAATGGGGTGGGGTAGGCAGGGGGGTGAAATAATCACCAGGGTGGGTCAACCACTTGAGGGACCTCACTCAGACCTTAGCTGCCCAGATGTGCTCACGATTGAGGTCCCCGATCAAATTCCAGCTGTCCACCTCCCACTCAGCAGTTCTCACTCAGGGGCCCCTACCCAGCAGCACTAACCAGTGCCCTCACCCAGTGGCCCCTGCCCAAGCAGGGTCCTGGGTCTAGCAGGACCAGTGAAGACTCAGTCAAATTTCTGTAAAGCAGTACGAGTTTAAGATCCTGTGGTTCCTAAAACTATTTGTATCAATAAAAGTTCTTATTAGAATTCCTATTGTCCATGTCACACAACAGGCTCACTGGGTCTTAGTGGGGCTTAAGAAAATTCAGCCAATTTCCCCACTAAGCTTTCCCCTTTCGAATGGGTCCAGCAGCTTCTGGCTTTTGCTGATCTGAAGTGCACACTGAAATGTGGACCGGAGTGCAACCCAGGCTGTGTTTTTGTACAGTTCCTAGTCTAATCCAACAAAAGTTCTTATTCAGATTCCTACTGTTCACCAAGTTTACCCCATTCAAATGGGTCCCTCAGAAGCTTGGCTTGCCGTTTCCGGCTTTTGCCTATCTACAGTGTGGACTAAAATGTGGCCCCGAATGCAACTGAGGCTATGTGCTCATTCAGAGTCTAATCCAACAAAAATTCTGATTCAAATTCCTACTGTCCATGTCATGCAACAGACCCACTGGGTCTTAGTGGGGCTTAAAAGGATTAAGCCAATTTCCCCACTAAGTTTTCTCCTTTCCAATGGGTCCCATAGAAGCTCATCTTGTGGCTTTTGGTTTTTGCCAAGTCCACACCACGGCTATGTTCTTACAGTTCTAATACTGAAAGTTTCAACAAAAGTTATGATTCAATTCCTATTGTCCACATCGTGCAACAGACCCACCAGGTTTTAATGGGGCTTAAGAGAATTCAGCCAATTTCCCCACTAACCTTTTTCCTTTCAAGTACCAAAGCAGCTCAGCTAACAGGTTCCAGCTTTTGCTGGGTCCAAGATGGGACTGTGGCGTGGCAGGGTGTTAATGTTAAGTTTTTATAGCTTCTAAAATAATGTGTTAACAAAAGTTCTGGTTCAAATTCCTACTATTCATGTCACGCTGTGATGGTTTGTCTCTATGGAACGTCAAGTACTCTCTAGTGTTCCGTCTTTATGTAGGCTTGCTATCCCTCTGGCTCTTCACACTGTACTCTCCATGGCTGCCATCTTCCCAGAATCTGAGCTCTGTTGATTCTTAATTCTTCTCCACCACAGATGAGTCCATTAGTATTTGAAATACCAACAGTGTGGCTTTGAGCACCACAGCATGCCACCACACTATGACTAAGCAACAGATGCATGATAGGCTTTTGGGTAAAGTTGGCAGAATAATTGAACAGAGGTGTCCTTCATGGAGTTATGGTCATAGGAAATAAGGATTTCTCCTTACTGTTTGGGATAGCATGAGTGACACAATGATAAACACTCAGTAAATTTATACAACTTGAACACTTGCCTTTAACATTTAGGGAGCTTAGGTGTCTGCCTTGCTTTGTGCTTCTCAACTTCATATTTCCCTCCATACAGAACAAAGTTCCTTTGATACCACCTCCAAAAAACAACTTACTCTCAGTCCCAGTGTCCTTGCTTTTTTGTTGTTGTTGTTGCTATTTTTTTATTAAATTTTATTAATTTTAATGAACATTTACAGAGATTTTGGCTTTCCATTCATTCATGCCAGTGTCCTTTCTGCATTGAATGCCACCTCATCTCTTAGTCTGGGCACCTAGAGCCCTCTGGGACTAGGCTTTCTAATGTACCTGTCTGCCTGCTATTCAACAAGCCCACTATCCTTTCCTACTGTTAAAAGAGCAAGGGCCCTTTCCCCCATCTTTCCATGCTGCAACAATAGTGTGCATGAACGTCCTGGCCAATGCTCCCAAAAGCATCAACAGTGCCAAGAAGAGAGGCAAGTGCCAGGTTCTTATCAGGCTATGCTACAAAGCTATCGTTCAGTTCCTGATGGCGATGATGAAGCATGGTTACATTGGCGAATTTGAAATCATTGATGATCACAGAGCAGGGAAAATTGCTGTCAACCTCACAGGCAGATCAAACAAGTGTGGTGTTATTAACCCCAGATTTGATGTGCAGCTCAAAGATCTAGAAAAGTAACAGAATATAATCTGCTCCCATCCCATCAGTTCAGTTTCATTGAATTGACAACCTCAACTGGCATCATGGACCACGAGGAAGCAAGACGAAAACAAACAGGAGGAAAAATCCTGGGATTCTTTTTCTAGGGATATAATAAACGGGGGGGGGGGGGAGAGCAAGGGCCACGTGGGGATGACCATATCTGACCTTTACCAACTGTCCCTTTCAACAACATCAACAATACAGAATCAATTCCTGTGAGGTCAGACATGTCCCCCACACTTCCACACCTCTTTCTACTCATCCAAACATCAAGCTTACTGCTTTACTGGATCCAAAATCTGATGTGATAACTCACAGACCACACAGAACTGGAAGGCTATAGTTCAGGTTAGTAGCAGAATACAGGACAGCTTCCAAAAAGTGGTTGTGGGCACCTCAGCCTTGAGCCTCATGTCTTTAGGCCAGTGTTACAAAGATCTCAGTCCTCCCCACCCTCAAGTTCTCCAACAAACTTAGACAAAGATTCTTAGTTCTGGTTTCCTGTGGTATAGCAGCCCTAAGATCCACTCCATTTCATGTCAGGTCTCTAGTTTTCTGCTGCTATGCCTGATGCTTCCATAGGTACTGGTCTGGTTGGCACGAAAATCTTGGGACACATTGCATTCTCTTGCTTCTTCTTTGCTTATTGGGTATATTCTCCAACTCTGATGCCAAATCTGCTCAATTTTATGGCAAGACTAGCCAATCCCCTTGTGGATTGACAAAACTAGCCAATCCCTTTGTGGACAGGCTAATTTGCCCTATTCACATATTACTGCCCACCCACATGACAAAGTCAAAGAATGGCAATTTTTGAACCATAAACCCTTAATATAACATCTACACGTGGAAAAGTGGAAATGGGAGGGAGATATTGCAGTTAGGACTCCCACAAGTATTTGACATGCCTTTGCTTCTATCATCAGACTCTCCAGGCTCAAATTAAAAACCTAGAAATTAACAAGGTGGATAAAATCAATATGGAACAAGAGTTGAAAGAGGTGAGTGAGCAGAGAACTTCCCCTACCTTTTCTATTCCCCTGAACTGAGGTTTCCCATCTAGGAAAATGGCAGCACTCCACAATGGTAACACCAGGTGGATAGTGCTCCAGAGCTAATTTCCTATGACTTGTATCAATATAGAAAGGCTGGGGACCTCTCAAAAGTTAAGACCATCCATTCAGGTGTATGGGTTTAAAAATCATATGCTAAGATCTCAGTTTTATTAAATAAGCAAATATCTAGAAAATAAAGATTATTAACAGTTTACCAGGATGTGTTAGTTACCTACTACTGTTAAATGGAAATTACACAAGTGGAGGGCTTTCATAATCAGTTTCATTTAGAAGTCTGAAAGTCCAAATATAGGATGCAAGCAATAGGTGGGGAAAGAGCCAGCACAGGAACCTGGGCCTAGACGATATGCTCTCCTCCTGGCCAGTTTTTCTTGGTGGTACTGAGATGTCTCCTTTCTTTTTACTACTTCTTTCCTTTTATCTCTTATGGGATAAGCCACACCTCAGAAAAATTCCCCTTACATTTATCAGGGCATTATATCCAACCCTTACTCATCTTACAACTGTTTGACTTGTCAAATCATAGGTGATCATTCCATAACCTCCAGGTTACAACATTGTTGTTGTTATGTGCCATTGAGTCGCCTGCTACTTATAGCAACCCTGTGCCCAATGGCTCTGAAGCTTGCTTTGTCCTGAGCCTGTCTCACTGTCTCTGACACACCTAACCCCATTGCCCCAATTACTCTGTCAATCCATCTCATCTAGGGCCTTCCTCTCCTGTTTTGTTCCTCCACCTTCTCAAGTGCCTCATGGCCACATGTCCAAAGTATGTAAGCTGAAGCTTCAAAATCCTTGCCTCCAAGGAACACCTTGGTTTCACCCTTTCCAGGACAGACCTGTTTGTTCTCTTGGCAATATGTTCAATATTATTCTCCAGCACCTCAACTCAAAGGTATTGATTCTTCTTCTGTCACCCCTAGTCATTATTTAGCTCTCTGATACATATCAGGTAATTGTGAAGACCATGGCCTGAATAAGGTGCACCTTAGTCTCCTGACTGACATTGTTGTTCTTTAGCTCTTTGGAGAGGAGGAACAGTTGAGTTCATGCCACAATGGTAGGAGGGAGGCCATTTGTGTATGTGAATGGTAATGGATGGATGAGGAAAAGAATAATAGTGGCTATACCATATGAAGAGTGTAATCAGTATTATTGAATTAGAATTGTAAAATATTTTGTTATACATATTTTCACCACAACTAAAAAAATTATTTATACACCAACTTCCCTGCCACAGGCAGATATTAATTTAGATCTCAAGATTATATTTAAGTGGAGGCTGGCTGTGGCCACTCACGGGGCCAGTCAATGTGTTGGCATCCAAAGTCCTCCTCATGTTGGTACCACTCAGCACAGAACTCTGAAATTTTTTGGTCTTGCATTGATCTTAATCAGCAGATCACAAAATGCCTGACGAGTGAGTACAAGGAAAAGAAGATCAAGAGCAGGGAGCTTACAATGTGATGGAGACTCTTCAGTCCTCCAGAGGAGTCAGGAAAATGAATTTTGTTTTCACTGGATGCACTGGTTGAGAGAAGATTCAAAGACTCTTGGTGGCTGGTCAAAAGAATTTGTCTTATTTGGTCTTCATGATCCTTTGAGTGCCAAAGTCTATCCACTTCTGTATGAGAAGAAATAGGAGACTTCAAGATTTAGAGTGTATTTGTTGAGTGGAGCCTTTAGTAGTAGTCATCTCTCCTGCCAAAACATCTGAACTTGATATGCTGTCTTTCCTTTGTCTAGAATCAACTAGCTCCTTCAATAAAATAACTTTCTGTAATTGTTTTTTTAAAAGGATCCTATTGGAACCAATATAGACATCAAGGTTGAACTTAAGCCAAGGCTTAACTTCCATGGCTCCAAATTAGATAAAATATTCCCCAGAAGAGGTTGGTTTTGTCCTAGCTGCCTCTGACCTGCCTCCATCAGCCCTGCTTCCTGAACTCCCCGTCTCTTTCTAGAAAGCTGACAGAAGTATCTTGGCAAGTAAGGCCAGCCGGGCTGACCTGGAGACAGTGGTGATGGAATTGAATGATATGATGCATAGCCTTATGCTCAAGGTCACCAACTATGAGGAAGACTGGAAGAAGTCCTTTGAGCACCTGAACAAAGACATGAGCAAGGTGAGCACCCTTCACACATTCTTTCTTACTACCTAACAAATTACCCCCAGAACATCCAGAACATAGCTACTTCAAGTGAAGTTTATTCTGCTTTTTCTGCTTCTGAGGGTCAAGAGTTTGGTAGTGTCCAAAAACTCACCAATAAAGTGCTGGTATTATAATTTCTGTGTTCCTTAGATTATTCTGATTAGAAGCTCTCATGTTGAAGTAGAAAAAGTTCTCATGTGGACTGCAATTTCCCTTTATTCAAATGTACCTTTTTTTCTGAATAAATCACCATAATCCCAATTTTTAAAGAAAAATTAGTTTGGAAGGAGTTTATGTGGGTGATTTTGGTGTTTTTAAGTGCCATCTAATTGAGTATGACTAATAGTAACCAATCTGAACACTGTCCTATCCCATGCCATCTTCACAATCTCTTGTGTCACACTCAAGTCCATTACTGCAGTCACTTTGTCAACCCAACCAGTTAAGAGTCTTCCTCTCTTTCACCACTCCTCAACCTTCCTAAGCATGATGTCCCTCTCCAAGAAACAACCTCTCCTAGCAACATATCCAAAGTAAGTGAGTTCATCATCTTTGCCTCCAAGTACTCTGGCAGCACCTCATACGTGACATATCTGTTTGCCAGCACCCTTCTACAATGCCACAGTTCAAAGGCATCAATTCTTCATCATCCTTAATCATTGTCCAGTTCTCAGATGCATAGCAAGTGACTGAAAAGTCTATGGCCTGAATCACGGACACGTTTGTTCTCAAACTGACTTCATTACCCCTCAATAATTTGGAAAGGTCCCTGACAGCAGACTTTCCCAGTGCAAATATATCTCCTGATCTCCTGACTGCTAGTACCAAGTGTACTGACTGTGGGCCCAAGTCAGATAAAGTCATTGACAGTTTCAATTCTTTCTCCATCCATCTTGATGCTGCCTATCAGTCCAGTGGTGAGGATTTTTGTTTTCTTGGTGTTGAGATGCAATCCATAGTGAAGGCTGCAGTGTTCTGCAGTAAGTGCTTCAAGTCCTCCTCCTCACTTTCAGCAAGCAAGGCTGTGTCATCTGCATAACCAAGGGTGTTGATGAGTCTTCCTCCAATCCTGATGCCATATTCAGCTTCTTGAATAATTTGCTCAACATTTAGACTAAATAGGTATGGAGAAAGGATACAAGAATGATGCACATCTTTCCTAATTTTAAACTATGTAGTATTCCCTGACTCTGGTGTAGGGTCTCCCATTAGAGTACATTCAAGATGGCTGCTGGGGCTGACTGGGACTGGAGGATCTTCTGCACTGACTCCCCTTCATGGCTTTTTGTGGAATTGTTCATCCATCATGTTGCTGAATGCTTTCAAGTTGACTATGACTCATAGCAACCCTTATAAACAATGGAACTGAACTCTGCCCTGTTCAGCACCATCCTCATCATCCCTATGTACACAAGCCAATTGTTACAATTACTATGTTGATCCTTCTCACTGAAGATCTTTCTTTCTCTGACCTTCCACCTTTCCAAGAAAAATGGCTTTTTCTAAGCACTGGCCCTCCTGACAACATGCCCAGAGTATGTGATATATATACATACTTGTCTTTAAGGTGCACCCTAGTTACACTTCCTCCAGGGCAGACGTGTTTGAGATTTTGTCAGTTTTTTTGTCAGATAGTCAGTACCAATTTCTTCCTGGATGACTCTTCAACCTTATTCCATCTTTTGCCTACAAATGAGAACTTTTCTTACTTAAGGCTGTGCAAAATGCTACTTTAAACTACTACACAGTATTTATTTAAAGAAATAGAAGCCAGTTTCCTACCACTGCAGAAGTATTAGAAGGTGTCGGATTTTCACTGCTTTAATCATGGTTTGCATCACCATGATTTTTGGAGAATGGCATTATTCTGTGTAACTTTTCTGATTACTCTAACTTCTCCCTTTCTGGAAAGGGGCAGAGTATGGTAACCAAACCTTCTTTGTTTGCTTATGCTGGTGCCCAGCTGATCCACAGTAACCTGGATAACTTGAAGTTAGAAATGGAAGATGTTTGGAAAATAGTCAGGAGACTGCTGATCGAGGGCCTCCGCTTTAACCCAGACAGTGCTGCTGGCTTCAGGAAGTGAGTATGCAAAGCCCCTTTCTGAGGGGAAACCTAGCTTCTACCCACTGGTTGGGAAAACTGAGTAGCTTAGCATTTGAGGGAAGTAGCTTGTGGAACACTGGGGTAAGGGGAGAGGACTTCCTCAGTTCAAGAAGCTACCCTGGAAGTTCTGGTGAGAAGCTCTGGCCTTGGCTGGCAGAGAGGTCTCCAGAAAGACACCTACTCCTCAGCCTTCTACATGACAAGTGGGAGTCCTGGTACAAAGGCAAAGGCTGGGCAGAGGAGAGGTGCCCGATCTAAGGGAGCCTGTCTCTTCCAGGAAGCTATTTGAGCGAGTTAAGTGCATCTCCTGTGACCGCCCGGTGGAGATGATGACTGGCCCGTAAGTACAGTCCATGTCTACCCAGAATGGGATATCCTTGAACCTGTTCCTCCTCTGGATTCCTGACCTCTGGGGGGCATCTGCACCCCAGTCAGCCCACCAGAGGGCCCCCATGCATATCCTCCCTTCTTGGCCTCTGCCAGCCTGCCCAGGTCCACCCAGGAGGCTCTGGTCTATTGTTCGCTTCTGGTCTATGCTTGCTCGGTAGACAGCATTCATGCATGCCCTATTCTCCTGGTCTTCACCTGGCACTGCCTGGCCACCAAGGGAGCTGCCTTTCATCTCCTCTAATGGTCCCTGTCAGCCTTCCCTTATGACCCACCAGGGAGTATACTCACAAGCCCTACCTAGCTCTCCCTGCAGGACTGAACCCTGCTCTCACATACAAAACTTACATCCTTCCACATGCCCCATTTCATTCATTCCACTCTGAGGGAGTCCCTGGGCTGCACACATTGTTATAACATTCCTTCCTTCCTACACCAAACCTCCTGAGTATCCCCTGTAAGCAGAGGCTGAATCAGCTCCAGTGGAAAAGGGTGGTGATGTTCATTGTGAAGGACACAATTCTAGGTGTTTCTTCATATTTGGGGTTATATTTCAGTGTTCTTTGAGGGCAGGTAACCCACAGAATCCATCACCACTCTAGGTCACATCCAGAATTTTCCCTGCAAGCCAGAAAAAATCAGAAGCAACCTAAATCCAGACATAAAATTATGAATACTTTATAGTCATCTTTCTCAGCCAGTATGAGTCAGGTGGTAGAAGAACGCTGTCCACAGCATTCCGTAGTGGCAGATATACTTCATATCAGTGCCATTCAGTGCAGTGGTCATTTGCTATGTGTAAATAATTAGCACTAGAAATACGGCTAATGTGGCCAAGGGGCTGAGTTTTCATTTTATTGAATTTTAGCAAACTTCAATGTAAAGTTACATTTTACAGCATCAAATGGGGCAAATGGCTGCAATTTTGAAGAGCATAGTTGTGGAACAATTTTTGCTGAGTGCTCTGGAAAACTGTTTATGTTATTAGATGCCACTGAACTGACCCCTCATGAGGCAGAAGGAAACCCTGGCAGGTCCTGCACCACCCTCAGCATTTCTGCTACACTTCACCCATTAGTTCAGTCACTGTGTCAATGTCAGTATGCCAATAATAAGTTTAAAAATGTTTCTACTAAGTGAGGGGAAAGAAAGCTTAAAGGTAGTAAATGTTTTGTGATTAAGTTTAAAAAAAATAGTTTGGTGGTTGTCATTGTTGTATGTGCCATCAAGTCACCTGCAATTCCTAATGACCCTATTACAACAACCCTAAACCCTGCTCTATTCTGTGCCAATCTTATTGCCTCTGACACACCTACCCTCATTACCCCAATCACTGAATCAATCCATTCCATCAAGGGCCTTCCTTTCTAGCACTGTCCTTTCACCCTTCCAAACATGATGTCCATCTCCAAGGACTGGTCCCTCCTTGCAACAAAATATGTCAGATAAAGCGTCAGAATTCTTGCCTCCAAAGAGCAGCCTGGTCTCACCCTCTCCAGGACGAACCTGTTTGTTTTCCTAGCAGTCCATGGTATATTTAATACTCTTCTCCAGCCCCACAGCTCAAAGGCATCAATTCTCCTTCTATCAACCCTAGTCACTGTCCAGCTTTCTGATGCATAGCAAGTAATTGCAAAGACTATGGCCTGGATAAGTCTCCAGACTTACATTGTTCCTCTTCAGTACTTTGGAAGAGGTCTCTGACAGCAGGCTTTCCCAATGCAATTTGTCTTTTAATTTCCTGGCTGCTGGTACCAAGAGTGTTGATTGTGGCGCCAAGCAAACTAAAGCTGTTAACAATCTTAATCTTTTCACCATATATCATAATGCTACCAATCAGCCCAGTGGTGAGAAATTTTATTTTCTTGATGTGGAACTTCAATTCATATTGAAGGCTGCAGTTCTTGACCTTCTGCAGCAAGTGCTTCAACTCTTCCTCATTGCAGCAAGCAGGGATGTGTCATCTGCATAACTCAGACAGTTGATGAGTCTTCCTCCAATCCTAATGTCACATTTCTCCTCATAAATCCCAGCCTCCCAGATAGCCTATTCTGCATATAGATTGAAAAAGGTATGGAGATAGGACACATCCCTGACATAACATCCTTCCCAATTTTGAACCATGCAACATTTTCTTGCTCTGTTCTGACAACTGCCTCCAGGTCCAAGTATAGATTTCACATAAGCACAATCAAGTGTTCTGGAATTCCCATTCTTCTCAGAGTGAACAGCATTTTGTTGTGACCCACACAGTCAAATGCCTTTGCATAGTCAACGGAACACAAACAGACATTCCTCTGGTACTCCCTGCTTTCAGCCAAGATCCATCTAACATTAACTATAATATCCCTAGTACCATGGCCTCTTCTAAACCTAGCCTAAGCTAAGGAAAATTAAATCAAATCCATGGATACCAAAATTTGATCTTGAGTCTATCCCATCTGAATTTCAAAACCATCACAGTAACAGGTCTGAGGACTTGAACACTAATAAGCAAAGACCAGATGAGCTGTGGGAGAATATCATCCAGGAAGAATGTCATTCAAAGACAGAGGAGGAAGAAAATACCAAGATGGATGTCAGAAGAGACTCTACACTAGAGTGCCAAGAAGCCAAAACAAAGGGGGGGAATCAAGATACTGAGGAGCTTAACAGAAGATTTCAAAGAGCAGCGCAGGAAGACAAAGTAAAGTGTTATAATGGAATGTCAAAGAGCTGGAGGTCAGAAAATCAAAGGGGCTAAACTCGCTCAGCATTTCTTAAGCTGAAGGAACTGAAGACCAAAGTCAAGGCTTGAGTTGCAATACTTAAGGATGCTTTGGGAAGAATATTAAATGATCCAGGAAACATTAAAAGAATATGGAAAGAGTATACAGGGTCAAATGTCTTAGCATAGATAATAAAACACAAATAGACATCCTCTGGTACTCTCTGCTTGCAGTCAAGATTCATCTGACTTCAGCAGTGATATTCCTAGTGCCTGGCCTCTCCTAAAACCCAGCTTGTATTTCTTGGGGTTTTCTATCAATGTACTTCTAGTTGTTTTTTGATAACCCTCAGCAAGATTTTGCTTGCATGTGATATTGTCTGATAATGTCCACATTCTGTTGGATCACCTTTTTTGAGCATGGGAGTAAGCACGGATCGTTTCCAATTAGTTGGCCAAGTAACTGTTCTCCAGATTTCTTGGGACAACCTAATGAGCACATCCAGGGCAGCATCTCTTTGTTGAAATATATAAATTGGTATTCCATCAATTCCTGGAGCCTTATTTTTTTTTGTCAATTCCTTCCAAGAAACTTGAACTTTCTCCTTAACCATTGGTTTTTTATCATATGCTACTTCCTAAAATGGTTCTGTGTCAGCCAATTCTTTTTGGTACAGACTGTATGTCTTTCCTCCCATCACCTTCTTTTATTGTTATTTTTTTAATTAAAAACTTCATCTCAGGTAATTTGGATGTGTTGCCAGGAGAGGCCATTCCTTGGAGAGACACATCATGCTTAGAAAGGGTCAGCAAAGGAGAGAAGACCCTCAACATGATGGATTGACACAGTAACTGTACATTTCTCTTTGTACATTTCTCATAGCTGACTTTCCATTGCATCTCTAAGGCTGCCAATCACATGGGAGTTTTCCCATCTTTCTCTAAGAAACCACTGGTGGCTTTGGCCCTTGGGTCAGCAGCCAAGTCTCTGTGGACTACAGGTGTATCAGAAGCAAAGGAAGCATTGGGAGAGGTGTGCCCCAAAGATATACCTCCTGTCTGACCCATGAAGGCTTCCTGAAGGAGATGGGGACTCATGTTCTCTGTTGACAACTGATGTCTCCCACTTGGCCACTGTCACCTTCTTGTCCCCAACAGACATCTCATCACCATCCGAAAAGCCCAACTGCTATCACGCCTCCAGCCATCCAGTCCCAACAGCTACGAGTACCAGCAGCAGCCCCAGCAGATAAGGTGAGCATGGGGTCTGGGCCCCAGGCCACTCATGCCAACAACCGATCCTAAGGGACATCCTGTAGCCCTACAGCCAGAGATGGTCCCAGGGTGTGGTCAGTTACTCACATGCTTGTGTGGACATAGACAACAGATGGGCAGGCAGACAGATGAGTTCTGAAGGAGACAAATTGACCCCTTGTGGTGTAGTGGTTAAACACTGCTGCTAATGGAAAAGTTCACGGCTCAAACCCACCAGCCACCCTGTGGGAGAAAAGCAAGGCAATCTGATTCCATAAATGTTTCTAGCCTCCAGAGCTTCACAGGCAGTTCCTTCCACCCCCATCCTGCAAGATCACCATGAGACAGAATATCTAACCACAGAGGGTTCCAGTTTATGTTGTTAGTAGATGCCATCACGTTGACTACCACTCATAGCAATCCTGTGATCGAAACTTTGCCCCATCTTCATGTTCATGCACCATGCTCAAGTCGATTGTTACAGTACATTTTGTTGAGGGTCTTCCTCTGCCCTTCCCCCTTTCCAAGCATATTTTTCCAAGGACGTGTCCCTCCATACAACATGTCCTAGGTATATATTCCACCATCCTTGCCTTAAGGAGCACATTGGTTGCACTTCTGGTCATTTTTAAAGTTCTAATTGCATAATGTATCACATCACATGTCAGGCTGCTAACCAAAAAGTCAGGGGTTCAAATCCTCCAGCTGCTTTGAGGGGGAAAGATGGGCAGTCCCTGGAGACCCAGTGGAAGATGGCTAGGAGTTGGGGGCTTTTTTATTTCAATGGTCTCAGCAGCCTCTGGATGAGGCAAACAATGAGGCATCCAACTAGTAGTAATGGGAAGGCTGCCTGTTGAGAGTAACAGTACCTCAGAAGGAAGGCCTGATGATCAGAAGGAGCAGAGCCCTGAGCACTCTGTGGAGGAAGTTCTGCTCTGACATCCATGGGGCCACCATGACTGGAGCTGACTCAAAGTCAGGTGGTTAACTGGTTGTATGTGCCTTCGGGGAAAGATTCCTGTCCTTTTTAACTTTTTTATTTTGCTTTCATCAAAAGTTTACAAAGCAAACAGGTTTTCTGTTCAATCATTCATACACATTTTGTTTTATGATGTTAATTACAGTCACCATATTGTAACATTATCTTCCTGCTTCCTCCCTGTTATTCTCATTTCCATTCATCATCCTATCTAATCCTTCCTTCTGAGCAAACACTGCCCTTTTGCTTTTGTGTGGTTATTGTTCACAGTGTAGGCCTATTGTTTGATTGAAAACTGAGCCACACAACTGAGTTTTGTTCCAAGATCCAAGGGTGAGGAAGGAACATTGGAGGTTCTGCATGTCTCCATTAGGTCATCCAGCCTGGTTTTCTGAGTTTTACTCCACATTTTTCTCCCACTCAGTCCAGCCCCCTACACTATGATCCTTTCACAACAGTCAGAGTGGAGCTGGGCATTATATTGTCTTGGTCCCAGTGTGTGGAGGGTACAATGTGCATGTGTCCTTCAGACCTTGTTTGAGCTTAGCCCTCATCTCCCTGAGTTCCCAAGTCAATTTTGAGGCACTTAGCCATGACACCTGAACCTCTAAGTCTTTGCTTGGCTTTGTCTGAGCACTGACCACACTGGGAGGAGGGGGGGCTTTTGTCTTCCTCCCTATTTCACTGATGGGGAGACTAGGGTCAGGGAATGTCAGGGGTAGAGGAAGTCAGTGTCAAAACTTGCATCTGAGCTTTCATGCTTCTGGCTCACCCACCCGGCCTCCCAGATCCTGACCCAGCCTAGTCCCCAAGCTCTTGATACCCCAAGCTTCAGAGTCCCTACCAGAACCCACCACTTTCTGAGGGAGTCTGCCAGACAGGGTGGGTGATGGAAAGACAGAACCCCTCAAAAGAGCTGATGGAATTCTGTGACCAAGTCAGGACTGAGCAACTGGCACAGGCCTTTGAGGGACAGCTGGTGTCCCCCTCTGCCCAGGGCCTCCCTACTGTGACAAAGGAGGCCCTGGAGGGTGCTGACTATGCTGTCTCATGCAGGGAACAGCAGAACATGCAGCTCCAGGGCCTGGTGGACCCTGAGGGAAACATGCACTCCGTGGGCTTCCAGCAGGAGTGGGGTGATGCCCCCCGGAACAACAGCAACCTCAAGTTTAACCCCTACAGCTTATCAACAATCTATCCCTATGGAGACCCCCAGCTGCTGGACTATGACACGGTGAGTCTGGGGCAGACATTGGGGCTGGCGAGCTTGGTCTCAGGCACCATGGGCTGATGGAGTACCTGGGCTGCCCACAGGCGGAGGTGGACATCCTGGGTGTGGACGGGATCCTATACAAGGGCCGCATGAACAACCCGAAGGAGGTGTGGCCCACCTTCCCCTCAGACAAAGAGCTGGCAGGTGAGGCTGCTGGGTTGGGGCATGGGACACAAGCAAGTGGGAAGTGACTTAGGTGCAAGTCAGTGGGATCCAGAGCAGGCACTGTCCCTGATTGGGATCACCTGCATACCAGGAGACAGTAAATGGGCAAAATGATGTGTTGCCCTTCCTCTGGGCATTCCCTATCAGGTAGGGTTCAAGGAGGGACAAATAACTAGAATCAGAGCACCCATCCTTACAGATGGAGAGGGATACCTGGGGACAGGACACTTAGGACAAGGGATGCTGGCCCAGGGAAGGAACTCAGGCAACCCTTCACCAGGTCTTCAAGGCTATAAATCTTAAGAGGACTGGCTAATCTTTCTCCTGAAACGCAGCTATTGGGTTTGAGATTCTGACCTTTTAGTTAGTAGCACAACCAACATCTCTGCCTACTACACCACCAGGTCTCCCAATACCCTGCCTCATGAACACAAGTGGAGATAGTTATATAATACTGAGAATCCTGGTCTGGCCAGTTGACACATACTGGGGGCACACAATCCATAACAATGACAAAAAGAGAGTGTCCTTGGAGGCTCCCCCTCTGGAAAAAGAAGCTGAGGCTTTGTCCCTCTGATGGTCCACACTGGTCAGGGGGTCAGAACTACCCCTTGTCATTCTCCCTCACCCACCACTTGCCCTACTGACATGAGAACTGGACACTGATGTGTGAGAAAAGGAGCACCTTGAACAGAGAAAGCAGCACCCTATGTCTGTGTCCAAGGGCATCAGGAAAAATGGGCCACACACTGGATGGACAGGTAGATACAACCTGGGGACTAGAAATCTGAAGCGAGGTAGACAGGGTACATTCCTACTGAGGGCTCTGGGGCAGATCCTGCCTCAGCTCCCCCCAAGCATCTGATGTCCTTGATCTTCCTTGGTTGTGGCTGCATCATGCTAGTCTCTGCCTCTGTCTCTCAAGGCATCTTCTTTGGGCCTGTCCCCTTTTGCCTTCTGTCAGGACACCACCTTAGAACATGTTGGGTGATCCAAAATGACCTTGTCTCAAGACCCTTTTCCCAACCAGGTCACATTTTTTGCTTGGTTCTAGAGGTCACATCTGGGACCCATCACACAACCTGACCCTGGTTCCAAGGGGCACACTATCCCAGACCCTGTCTCTCTGGAGACACATGTACTTGTCAGTGGCTTGCAATGTAAATGGCTCCTCCTGGACTTGGCCACTGCTGTCCCCTGTGCCCTCACCCCCACTGTGGCTGCTGTTCTTAAGTCTTCAGGCATCACTAGACAAGACTGAAATAACAGGCTTCCACCAGGATGATCCAGGATTGTCTCCCAATCTCTGGATCCCTAGTCACTCTGCAAAGTGTGTGTGTGCTTTAGCTACCGAGTGCTGTTAGAAGTTCAGAGCTGGGGTGTGAGCTTTCAGGGAGCTCAAGGAGAAGTCTTCCTCTGTGTCTACTTAGGAGGAAGTCACCTCTTGTCAATTTGTGTCCTTTTCTCTTTTCAGCATCTGTTCTTCTTTTTTTTTTTAATTTTTGTGCATGTACCGTCAAATCAAATCTGACTGGTACAGGAGGAAATTATCCCTCCTTCTCCGGCACAGCATCTGGTGGATTTGAACCATGTACCTTTAGGATTGCAATACAGCTTCTTGCCACTAGGCCACCAGAGCTCCCCTAAGGCCACCAGAGCTCCCCTAAGGCCACCAGAGCTCCCCTAGCATCTGTTCTTCTATCTTCCTGCACCTCTGGTGGCTTGCTTTTTTAATCTACTCTTTTATATCTCAAAGGAGATTGGCTGTGCTCGCTTCGGCAGCACATATACTAAAATTGGAATGATACAGAGAAGATTAGCATGGCCCCTGCGCAAGGATGACACGCAAATTCGTGAAGCGTTCCATATTTTCGACCCTGAAACGAACCAGTCTGTAACGAAGGCTAACTCCTAACTCCTTTCACCTACAAATTTCGTCTTTGGATACAAAGCTAAGTGGATAGTCCTTACCGAGGGACTGTTTAAAAAGAGGCAGGGAGAAGAAGAGGGGGAAAAAAAAAAGGAGATTGGCTGAAGACACATTCTTAAACATCATAGGCTTCTATCTGAAAGGTCAGCAGTTTAAACCCACCAGCCTGGCTCCTCTAAGGTCAGAAAGGCAGTCTTCTTCCATAAAGACTGACCCCTTCAGACCCCGAGGGAGGTCCACCCTGACTCAGAATTGACTCAACAGCAGTGGGTGGGTAACCACAAAATAAAAGAAGACTCTGAGTGAGAATTATTGGCACAGTGGCAGCAACGGTGGGCCTGAGCACAGGAGAAATTGTGGGAATGGCACAGCACTGGGCAGGGCTTGGTTTTATTCAATAGCACCTAACAGCATCAGCCACCATCACAACATGATCAAGAAAATCCATTCCCAAATTGAATCCTAATTACCACAGGGTTGTAGCAACCTTATTAGAGTTGGCACAGTTCAGTCTGTAACATCATGTAAGGTCGTGTGTTTGCTCCCAGGCTTTGTGATTAGGAACTTGGCTGCTGTCAGGAAGTCACTGATTCAGCTGACCACCCTGCCCACACTATGTGCCCTGCCACCTACCCCATCCTTGCTCAGCCCCTGAAGATTCTTTTCCACAGAAGCTTTGACCATATGATCCTTCAAGATCTGATCTTCCTCATCTCTTGCTGTCAGTTCCAACTCAGAATTGCCCTAGGACAACAGAACGGAGCCCCAGCTGGTCTCAAGCCATCCTTCCATCCTTGCCATCTCTGCTGGGTTTGAGTCCATCATTGCGCTCACTAGATCTGTCCATCTCATGGAGGTTCTTCCTCCTTTCTTCTGAGCCTCTACTTTACTGAGATGCCTTCTCCAGGGACTGGCCACTACTGACCACATGCAAAAAGTGCCTGAGATGATGTCTGGCCATCCTCATTTCCAATGAATATTTTGACAATCTTTTCAACATACCTTTGGGACCAGCCACGTGGACCTTTCTAAACTTCTCAGATTGGGCCATGCTGTCTCATGTTCCATGCCCATTTCTTGCCAAAACAGCCAAGTCTAGCTCATGTCCATTTCTGGTCAAGTAAAAAGTCACTGAGGAAGTGTTTTAGACATCTAGCATTGTCATAGGGAGCTCTTGTGGCTTAGTGGTAAGAAAATGTGCAAAGGTGTACAGTTTAAATCCACCAGCTGCTTTGCAGAAGGAAGAAGATGGGCAATCTCCTCCTATGTGATTTACTGCTTCTGAAAACCCACTGGACAGTCAGCTATGGATCAATTCCAACTTGATGGTACACAACAACACAATTTCCATAACAGAGAAACCATAGGTTTTTAATAAACATAAATTTATCACAGTTTTGAAAGCTACAAGTCCCAGCTGGGTGCCAGCTTTAGTGGACACTTGCTGGCTCTGGAGCCAAGTCCTTGCTTCCTCTATAGGTCCAATATTACTTCCATATCCAGAAGCTTCCCAACACAGGGAAGTTCCTCCTGATGCTTCTTGCTTGGTGGTTCTGAGGTCCTGCCTCTGCCTGCTTCTCTCCCGTTGTAGTTCTCCTGACAAAGTGTCACAGACCACATCTGTGGACACGCTGTTGTGATAAAATGAACTGTGTAGCACCTCACCCTTCATCCTTTTGCAGCTGCTTGGTTTACTCGTGGTACATAACCTCCCCAGTATATTGTAGTGTCCCTGTTTTCTGAGGGGACACAATGCAATCCATAACAGATTTTCCTAGAGACCATCTGGCACCCGGTGGAGGGGATGAGGGTTCAAAGTTCTCCTGGGCTTCTGGCTTTTCCCTCTGGAGCACCCCACCTAGGGTTCTTTCTGAGAGAGAGGACCGCTTGGGATCACAATTGTTGGCTGTCCCACAGGCCCTGTCCCCCTGGAGCTCTAGTAGCCTCGTACATAGGTGGTATTTTGCTGACTGGAACACACTGAGTCCTCAGGAGGCATATAGACAGTCTCTTCTGGGAGATTTCCTGTCTCAGGGCTCCCTGCAGGGTCAGCTGTGAGTTAGTTGAGGTGTTGGGGTTTTTTTTTTTCTCTTTGTTTTTTTTAATAATTTTAATGAACATTTACAAAGATTTTGGATTTCCATTCATTCATTGTTGCACTTTTCTCCCTGCCCAGCCCTCCCCACGCCCCAGTTCACTCCTCTCTTTGAAAAGTAAAAATTCTTCCTTTGATATACAATCCCCCTGCACCCCTCCCACCGCCCCAAGTACACGCCACTATGCAACCTTACTTCTCGATTCTTGTGATAACCATAATACCCTATCATACATCGCTTTTAAATTATTCTTTCCCTCATCTGTTTCAATGCAGTATATGCAATTTATCCAGTTTTTTCTCAGTCTTACCCCAACCCTGATATCAGTCCCATTTTACAGCAGTGGCACCATGCAGTATTTGTCCTTTTGCGACTGAGATATTTCACTCAGCATAATGTCCTCCAGGGTCACCCATTTTGAATAATATTGCATGAGTTCCTTGTTTTTCAATGCAGCATAGTATTCCATTGTGTGAATATAGCACAGCTTCTCTATCCATTCATTTGTTGATGGGCACCTGGATTGTTTCCAACTCCTTGCTATTGTGAACAAAGCTGCAATAAACATGGGTGTGCATATATCTGCTTGGATGCCAGTAGTGGAATTGCTTGGGCAAATGGTATCTCTATTTGTAACTTTTTGAGAAAGGGTCATACCGCCTTCCACAGTGGTTGCACCATTTTACACTCCCACCAACAGTGAATAAGGGTTCTAGTTTCTCCACAACCTCACCAGCATTTGTTGCTTGCTATTCTGATTGGGGTGAGATGATATCTCATAGTTGTTTTGATTTGCATGTCTCGTAGAGCTAGGGATTTTGAACATGTCTTCATGCGCTTGTTGGCCATCTGAATATCTTCTTTGACGAAGTGTGTGAGTTAGTTTTAATTAGATGTCTGTTTGGCCATCGCCGTTTCCATCTCATGGGGAGTGCCCAGTGTGACGGGGATGCTTAGCGCTGCCCCTCACAGCCTAAGTTCCAGGAGGATTGGGCAGTGCACATGAGCAGTATGTGTAGCCCACTCCCCAGCAGAGGAGGAACCGTATGTGCGGTGGGTGGGAGCCTAGTGAGGGAGATGCCCCTTGAGGTCAGATGCTCTTTGGAACAAGAAGAGGAGACAGCCAGAGACAGATCCAGAAACAGCACCTCCCCCTGCCCTGGCAGGAGTGCACCAGACCCAGTGCTCTCAGTCAGGGCTCAGGTGGGTTTTGCCACATGGCTCCTTCTGCCTTCGTCCTTCCCTGTCCTGTAGCCTCTCCCCCACCCTTCTGGCAGTGGCCTTTGGCCAGACAATAGTCAGTCATGCTAACTCTAGGCTGGAAAAGAAGTGGGGCTATGGGGTGAAGGGGCCCATGGCAGCCCAGCCTACAGCCTGAGTACTGCTGACTTAAAAGCAGTGACTGTCCTTCAGCACTATCCACTGGGTCTCCAGACCCTCTCAGAACCTCGGGGTGTCATGGATTCTAGACTCCAGGAGGCAGTAAGTGGAAGCTTTGTCTGAGGTGGACCCCTGAAATCAAGTCCTCACTCTGGCCTCTGTCTTCTTGCTCTCCCTGAAGCTGTGAAGGTTCCTCGGCCCCCATCCCAGAACCTGTATGACCCAGCTCATACCAGTGAGTACCCATCCCCCCACCTCACCTGCCTCTCACTGCTCACTCACTTGCTGGGCCCTGGTCCAGGCCCCAGAGCTGTCCTCCAGGTGTGACCAGCCACGGTAGGAGAAGGGAGCCCTCTGATGCCCTGGGCCTGCTTATGGCTTCCATTACCTGGTGCCAGGCCTCTGAGGGAACAGCAGTCAACTGCACCCCTACACTCTTCCTATCTCAACCCTCCTCTCCACCATCACGCCCTGAAGGCAGGGACTTGAAGCTGAGGCCAAGGCCAAGCAAGAGGCCTGACACTGCACTCTGGGCCCCTAGGTCCTTCCTGGGTATCATGCTCCCCTCTGCTGGTGTGTTGTGGGTGCAGATGCCCAACGGGACTGGGTGAATGGAGTCCTGCTGGGTCAGGGAACTACATTCTGCTGGAGCTGGGTGGTTCCTGAGGCCTTGTGTTCTCCTCCCAGCTCTGTACAGCCAGACAAGTGCATCCAGCACCATCTACTCAGGGCCCCTGCGGGCAGCACCACCCAGGCCACCTTCTCTGCCACCCATGCCACCACCGATCCCAAGGGATGCCCACCAGGCACCAGGGGCCCCTAGACACCAAAAAACACAGCGCTTCGAGTCCAGAACCAACACCCTTCTCAAGGAGGAACACTTGAAGCCGTGAGCCCCTCAGCCCTGTGACCATCTGGGTGCCCCAAGCTCCTGGGCAGGATCTTAGGACATAGGGGCCCCACTGTGACTTGGGGGCTGTTTCAACTCTGCTGGTGTAAGTGCAGGCACCTCTTTCTAAGGTGAACTTTCCATTATCCTACTAGCACTCATATGATGATTCCAGCTCCCAGCCGCCCTGTAGCAGAGAGCACCACTGCCAGCTGGTGGGTTTCTCCCTTGGGAAAAGAATGGGTGGGAGCCTGGGGTGCACTCTGTAGCTCCACGGCAGTGATCTTGGTATTTCTACAGGAGTGGTTTGGAATTGGTGTTTAAAGATCTGAGTGGTAGAATTCCACCTTGGCTAACCCAAGGACATGTAGCAATGCCCCTTAACAGCCCTGGCTCGACCCAGCCCTGGGTGGCTGACCACCTCTAGCCCCTCAGCTACTGTAACTGTCCATGCTCTTGGCAGCCCTCCAAGCTCACTGGGGAGTGTGATGGCAGAGCCAAGTGGCCCCCCAACCCTCCCTGGGTTCACACTGTCTCCTCTGCCTCCTGGCTACTGGACTCCTCTCCAACTCTGCTGGAGAATGCTCTGTGGGGTGGTCTTCCCATTCCCTATGGCCTCTGTACCCCCAGTCTTCTCCCTCACTGCTTTCTTCTCTTTCCAAGGATGGTGTTCAAGTGAGGCCCTCTTGCCCTCAGTTTCCTGACTCTGGAACTGCTTGTCCATGCTGCCTTAGGAGACAGTCTGGGAACCCCATCCACTCCCACATTACAGACAAGCTTTCTCCTGGAATAAAATGTTGCACCCTACTGACTCTGGTTGGATGATTCAATGCCATCTGGAAGGGACTGTGACCCCTCTTCCTGCTTCCCTGGGGGTAGTAGCTCTGTGGCCCTTCTCTCCTGTGTCAGGCAGGCCAGCATCACAGAGAAATCTCAGGTCTGCCAGATACAGTGCCTGAGCGGCCTTGACCATCCCTTCCACTGATGAGGCACAGTCATGGCTCCTCACCAGGGAGGTGAGATCCAAGGGAGCTCCAAGCTGGACCTGTACCCCAATCTGAATCCATTAGCACCCAAGTTTCCTCCCTCCTGAAGCTGAGAAAGGCCAATTGTGCCACTAGTAACCCACTTGCTCTTCCAGGGGTCTCCTTGGGAGAGAGGGGAAGTTGAGACAGGTTAAAGTGGGCACAGATCAACTGCAGAGAACTTCCTGTCCCTGCCAGCAGTCAGCCTCTGGTCCCAGAGGGGTGGGTCCTGGAAGACTCTGAACACTGGACAGATGCCTCAGATGGGCCCCACACTAACCCAGCCCAGGAAGGCCTGAGGAGTGAAGGGGAAAGGCACTTCCTAGCAAGAATGTGACCCACTGTGCTGAGACTTGGGGCTTCCTGTTTCAAGCCTAGGACCAGTCAATCTCTTGAGAAGGGACTTGAGCCAGCCCTTCTGGAGAATGGGCCTGGCCAGGAAGGAGAGGGAGGTGACACATATGATGTTGGAGCATGTCCCCCCCAACCCCCCACCGTACCTGAAGGGTCACTCAACATCGTTGACCTTTCAAAGACTGAACTCAGTAATCTCGAGGTATAAAGGATAACACCCAACAAGACCTGCACTGGGGAGGTGGGTGAAGGGGCACGGCAGGGGTGCAGGGGCAGTGCAGGGGAAGGGGAGGAGGGGCTGCTGTTTATGGAACCTTCTTCACCAAACTGACTTGAACATGGTGTTACCTGCTGGTGAGCAGTTTGAAACGACTTAGCCACTCCTCAGATGGAAACGGGCCGATCTCTTCTATTAAGATTTAACCACGGTTGCTGGATCTCTCACCATGCCGACGCTCCTCTGGTTTCTAAGGCTGAGGGAGAAGCCTTCCTATGGATTCAAACTACTGACCTCTTGGTTGGTAGCCTGGTTAAGTTACATACTGTGCCACTAGGGTTCTTTTCTTTAAGATTTACTTGTCCCATGTACAAATCGCACCGCTTTTTGGTAGTTGTTCTGGTTTTTTACTTTACAGGTAGATTGACTCCCAGATCATTCTCCTGCAAACCCCATGGGTGGGTTCAAATCACCTTTGCTGTAGAGTCCAGCTGGTATACTTTCCCCAAATACAAGCTGTGGCCAGACAATACATACCTTTTCAAATGCAGGAGCTTGAAACCACCTTGCCTCTGAACCTTCCACTGGCCACCCAAAGCAGGCTGGATGCAGCGGGTAGAAAGTGATCCAAGACATCAAAAGGGGCTGTCTTCTCCCATTAAGATTTAATGTCATCAAAGCCCAGGGAAACTTGCAAGGCTATTCCCAGACAGTAAAGGCTCTGTGGCTGGAAAGCTGGAATGTGTATAAATGAACCCTGGTAACCACTGAAAAGTCCATGGGAATGCTCCTGGCCCTGAGTGCCCAAGTTCCAGAGGTTCCACAGAAAACAAGCCCTCTCTCTTCCCAGTTACCCAGACAGGCCCTGACTGCTCCAGAGCAGTTTAGTGTATCTAAAAGACACATCAGGCCAGGAGGTAGGACGCTTGTCAGCCCACTGTCCCCACCCTGCAGTCACAGATATTTCCATTTCTAGGAAAATGAAGATTTGTGCAGAGAAAAGAGCTGGGAACACAGTGGCTGTAGTGACATGACCAGGGGGGCAGTCTTCCCAGAATCCCGGTCAACTTTGGCCAGTGGTAGTCCAAAAGTAATGCAGACCAACAGTTATTGCCTTGGGCAAGTCTACTGTCAGGGACCTATTCAAAACACTGATGTGATGATGTCAGTTTGATGACAGGTGCGCCTCATTCAGACCATGGTCTTTTCAATCACTTCCTATGCATCTGAAAACTGCACATGAGTGATGCCTTTGAGCTGTGGTATTGGGTAAGATGGTCCCATGGACTCCCAAAAGAAATGTTTTGGGAAAAGTGTAGCTAGCATACTCCTTAGAGGAAAAACTTCTTAAACTCTGGCCATGTTTCCCGGAGAGGCTATTTCTTGGTAAGGAACATCATGCTTGGAAAGGTGGAGGATCATCAGAGAAGGGGAAGGAAAACCCCCATAGATATGGCCTGGCGACTTCAGCAATGGGCTCAAGTACGTCAGAGATGATGACAGCACAGAACAGAGCAGAGTTCATGTATGCTGTTCATAGGGTCACTGAGTTAAACTCAACATCACCTAATAACAACAAAGTCTTGCTCTCTAAGACCTCCAGAAGTGGGGATTTTCATGTGAACTCTCTGGTTTTAAAATGCTGACAGATAAAATGGTGCAAAAACAGTGCAAAGCCCACAGCACAATTATACTCTACCCCAGGATAAACCAGGCCCTTCTTTGGAATCAGAGAAACCTCAAGGCACACTGTTTCCTGGCCAAAGCCAATACAAGGTCAAATCCAGTCATCATGATGCTATGGTTGGAGCTCAAAGCAGCAAGCCTGGTGTCCTGTTCCACAGGCAGTTTCTTGGAATGCCTGTTAGTTTTAAATTTTTATTTGTGTGAAAGGTTACAGAGCATTGGTTTTCCAGTCACAGGAGCATAAGAATTTTAAGAGCCTTACAAAATACACATTTTAACAGTGATCTTCCCACCCCCTTCCTATAATTCTCATCCCTATTCATCTTTCTAGCCTACTCCTCTTTCAAGCCTTCTGAGCTTTCTCCCTGAGCAAATGCTATTCTTTGTGCTCATGTATGGCTAGTGTTATAACCTTACAAGCCTGCCTAAAGTTGAGAACCAGAGTTTAGTCCCAGGCTCAAAGGGTCACTAAGGGCCAGTCTTAAGGGTCTCACGAGGGTCTTGATGGGAGACAGATGGATGAGATAGCTTACCAGGCTGGGTCCCACTATCAGAAGCACCACTGCCAGCTCACACCTGAGCACAAAGATGTCACTTTTACCTTTGCTCCTGAGCTTCCAGGTTTGGCAGGGTGGGAGTTCCCCAACCTCCGAGTTGCATACACATTCTAGAGTGTGAGACAACCCCAGAGGCCCACCTATGGCTCCCCTCAGTCAGCTGTGGTTGCTTTTCCAGCCCAAGGCATGATGCTTGGAAAGCCCAAGTTCCTGAGCTAGCACCCCAGTTTCTAGATGCAACTAGACTACACATGGTGACCCCTACACTCTAGCTCTCTGAGGGCTATATGGTGACCCCACACCCTGGCCCTAAGTGCATAGGTGGGGCAGGGTGACAGAAGACTAGCTTCGGGGAGCCACCACAGTTCCCAGCTCTGTTGACCACATCATGACCCCACTCCCCAGCTCTGCTGACCATGTGGTGATCCCATAGTCTAGCTCTGAGCACTACATGGTAACCCCAATCTCTTGGCTGAGAGCTGTGACCCCATGCTCCAGCTCTCTCAGGGCCACATGGTGACCCTACTCCCTGACTGGAGTTGTGCTATTGCAGGGACAGCACAGGAAGGGGTAATGTGGGGCAGGTGGGAGAGGAGGAACCCCCTCCTGGCTCCATTTAGGCAGCCAGGCAAGACAACAGAGCCCATGGGTGGTTTGCAATTCTTTCTACTTTGTTAAAAGGAGTGAGGAAACTGGAGCTGGAGGCACCAGGCTCTGGGGAGGCATGCAGGTAAGCCCCAGGAAACAGGAGCTGGGGATGATGAGTGGGAAGTGTCCTCAAGTTTCCCACAATCCTCTTCTCTGCAGAACAGCAGTATTGAACAAGGGTAGGAGTGAGGTGGGGCCCTGGAGAAGGGCAACAGGTGCAGGGCTCACAGTAACATGCAAAGTCCAGAAGCCTCATGAACTGGATGCTTTTGGAGAAATCGAGATACACACAGCCACACAGCAAGCACGCAGACACAGATATGCTGTGGCCCTTCTCTTCAGCATCCTGGGCCCCGCCAGGGAGGGATGGGCAGGGAGTCATTGCAAGAAAGCAGTTCGGTCTCTCAGAAGTTCTGTCCACCAGACGCCTGATGACATGGCACCTGATCCAGGTGGGCTGGGCTGCGTCGGCTCTGGCCTATGCATGCAGCTCTGTGTGGGTGCCAACGCAGCTCCATCTGGCCAGTTCCTCCTGTCCAGGGCTTCAGGGAACAATAGGGTGCAAGAGGAATGAAGGGAACCTGTGGAGACGTCCTCTCCCACGCCACGGAGCATGGCCTCCGGGAGGGAGAGGGGCCTCCCTTATCTCTCAGCCTCCATGGTTGGGTGCACCCTCGGTTCCGATGCAGCCTGCTGGGGGGCCATGGGCGGCCAGTCTGAAGCCGGAGAAGGGGGTGCTGGAGTCCACAGGGGCAGCTGTTGATGCTGTGTGCCCCCTGGGGGCGAGGCTGCCATTGGCCAGCCAGGTGCCATTAAGTTCCCTGCTGTGGCCGCGTGGGGAAAGTGGGGTGGTGGGGATGTGGCCATTGTGGCCATGGGGCTGCCACTGCCTCCGCCATGGAAGCTCTCGGAGGCCTTGAGACGGGAGAACATGGTGAGGGCGTCAGGGAAGTTTGGGGGTGTAGCAGGGGTGTTGGCAGGAGTGCACATCTGTAGGGGAAGAAAGTGAAGGAAGGATGAGGCTCTCCCTCTGAATGGTACCCCAGTCTTCTGCATCTCCTAAGGGAACTAAGCCTAGCCTATGGTCTGGAAGTCATTTGCTTCCCAACCCTAGATGACACCCTTGCCCAAGGTGGGGCCACTCAGAGCCTGAGGGGCCAGGGTCCCAGAATGAGAGGCATTGCTAGTGCATTCCACAGCCAAGGAGGGATTCCCCTGGGTCTCCACCCTGCACCAATTTCTGCTCCTGCCCCTAGGCTCCTGCCAGTCTCCGCCCCAGACACCAGGTCCCCACTCTTGCCCTTCTCCCTCTCCCCACCAGTGGGACCTGGTCACTCACCATTTGGTGGTGGTGGTGGCTGTAGGGGATGTTGGTCTCCTGGAAAAAGGCGCTGAGGGCTGTCTGTGGAAAAAAAGGTGGGCCCAAACTCACCTCGAGGGCCCCTCCCCATCAGGCCCATCAACTGCCATGTTGGAGGGGTGGCCAGGACACAACCAGTCACTGAAGACTCCACAACATTGTGGCCACTTTACCACCACAGAACCTGGGGTTCTCAATTACCCTCACTGGGTGTGTTGGGCAGTACTGTCCTCGTCACAATAAAGAACCCTGTGACTTCCCTGCCCACTGGTCTTAAGGATCCTGAGTCCAGCCTCTCATTGCCTGTTTCCAGTCCCAAAGAGGCACATATATCTTGCCTCAATTGTCCTCTCAGCGACTTCTTTGCTTGAGCTAGCCTGGGTGGAGGACACTCCAGGGTAAGAGAGATATGACCACAGACCCCAAGAAGTGGAGACAGGGTTGCCTGCCTCCATGTCTGTGAGGTTTAGACTCAGTCCTTGAGATAGGCCCAAGAAAGGGTGAAGGAGGAGAGGCCCAGACAGGATTCCTGCTTATATGCAGACCTGGCTCTAGTGCCTCCTAGGAGGCCATCCCTCACGCAGCACTATGGAATGTTGCAGGGAAATAAGGGGCCCTATGGCTTTATGGAACAATCCTGAGGTGTGTGTAAAGGGTACACTAGGCCCACAGTCAAGTTTCAGGCCCAGTCCTGATCCAGTAACCATTGGTGCTGCACTCACACCCAGGCTTGCCTGCTTGTTTCTCAGTCCTTCTCAAAACATCCTAACCCAGGGCCTGCCATCAGGGGCTTTGTTATTTTCTTCAGGAAAAGTCAGACCAACTTCTTGCTGGAGATGCCCCAACCTGTGTCCCTAGACAGGGTTGAGGAGCTCCAGGCCAGAAGGCAAGTCGCTACCCACCTCCCAGTGATCACCGAGGCCCCAGGAGACCACCAGTTGGCTTCACTCCCAAAGACACTCAGCCTGCCCCCTCCTGCCCCAGAAGAGGCTGGGGTCCATAGGAGTTCCAGTAGGAACTGCCTCCCCTCCTCACCCAGGATCCTAAAAGCACAGGGTCAGCTGGCTCTGGTGAGCCCTCTTACCCTGGCACACCTGCCCAGCAGGTTTCCACAGGAAGGGCCCCTTATATGCAGATTTTAACTTCTAGAAGTTCTGCCACTTGGATACCAGGATTAGGAAGAGGTGGGGCACTTGACTGGCTTCAGCAGCCTCTCACATCCCCTGGACACTGAGGGCAGAAGGAGGGAACCCCCTAGAGGGAAAGGACCAACCACTGTCCTAGTGTGGGCCTCCAGTAGCTGGGAGGGGGAGCTCCTGCCAACAGAGAAATGGGCTGACCACAGTCAGTCCCAGGTGGTCAGAACCTGAGAGGGAGAAATTCTACCCTTCTCCAGTCTACGAAGCTGGCTGGGCCCTGGTTCCTGGGAGTTCCAACAGGTAGCTGTGTGAGAAGTGGGCCTCTCCAAGGGCAACTTCAACCCTGGAGTGGCCCTGGACCAGGCTGCAACCCTCCTGCACACTTGGGGGGTGGGGGGCACCGCCAAATATACTGTCATTGAGTTAGTTGATTTTGACTGTGCGACTCTTCCTTGGTTTCAAAGGCCACAAAGTCTGCCATCTTTCCCCCCAGAAGTGTGTAATGGATTCCCACCTTGCACTTTTCAGTCAGCAATTCAGTATGGTATGTGATGTATGTGATTATTTCTCAAGTGTATGTGTTAGGGCTTTTTTCCCCACATCAGATGGATAGCGTGCCTATATCTTAACAAGGTTTAAAAGGGGTGGCATATGTCATACAGAAGTATGAACACCCAATCATGCTTATGAACCGGAAATGGATGTATGTGTGTGTGTGTGTGTGTGTGTGTGTGTGTTAGGGCTTTTAATTGAAAGGTTATTAATGGTTCCAATGCACCAGCCAAGTGATATGAAGAGGGGCAGTATGTTCCCCTTAGGATTCCCAGTCTTAGAAACACAATGGCAGGATCAAGGTTAAGTCAGAATGAACTGTGTGGCAGTGGGTCTGGTTCTGGTTTGTTGGTTTTTTATTAGGGAAGGCCTAGTGGCCTCTTCACAGCAAGTGCCTTCATGGCCAGCAGCGGTCTCGGGGAGGGCTGGGCCAGGAGGTGGTTAGCCCTACCTCCTGGCCCAGCTGAGCTGAAAGCCACCGACCCTTGTACACGAAACAGATGCAACCCCACCAAAGGAAAGCACTCGCACACAAGCGTATAGGACATCTGGTCACTGGTGTGTTGTGGACACACCTCCCACCATAAGGGGCAAGGCCACAACTGTGCAACCCACAGCAACTACCATAGGCATAACGCACATTCTCGCCCTGAATCTCGGGGGTGCTCCGCGTCCCCCAGACCCGAAAGGCGAGCTGTGTGCGCGGAGCGTAAATACAAACACACACACGTGCACACACGTACAGTGGCACACACTCTCCGGGCCTGCGTTCGCCCTTCGGTACCCGGCCGCTATTGGATCAGGGACACAGAGACCTGAGGCAGCCTCCTTTCGGGCAGCTACCGACCGTTACTCCAACAAAAGTGGTTATCCCCCTGACCCCAGCCGCCACCAGCTCTTAAGGGCCTCCGTGTGCGCAGGGTAAAGCGGGCTTCTCAGGACGTCCACCCTCGCAGCGTTTCTGGAGCCCAGAGGCCGCGTAGATGCGTCCCTGCAGGGTCCAGGCCTGACAGCCGCCGCCTCAGCACGTACCAAGGCCCGGGCCCCTAAGTGCGCTGGTCTCCCGGGGCCTGGCCAGCTGTAGACGCAGCGCTGTCGGGGTGCGCACAGCGACTGAGTCCGCGGGCCCGCACCCACCCAGGCACGAGGGCCGGATGGCGAGGCCTCGCGCCGCCCGGCCCTGCCCCTGCCCCGCCGGCCCGCACCTCGAACTGCCAGTGGGCGGCCTGCAGCAGCTGCTTCGCTTGGTCGGCCGCACAGCCCGCCGTTAGCACGAACTGGTTGATCATGACCTGGTGCTTGAGCTCGTCCATGCTGACGGACAGAGCGCCGAGCAGCTGCTTCCTCCGCCTCACGCGTCCACCATTAGCGAACTGGCTCCAGCTAATACAAATATTTACTGTACAGCTCTGACTCACTGGACTCGCCGCGCTCTGGCCGCGGGCGGGACGCTGGGCATGCTGGGAGTTGTGGTCCTCCCGCGCTTCCGTCCGGGGGCCGATCCCACACCATCACTGGGAGGGTGAGCTGCGCAACCTCGGCCATCAGAGGCCGGGGACGGGAGTAGCGAGGGTGCACCTGCTTGCTGCACAGGCTCCGGGGCCCCAGCGTAGAACCCATATGCCGGGTCAAGAGAGATTCAGATTGTGGGTGTAGAATAGGGACTGATGGGCACAGGAGGCAGAGGACTGTGGGTGCACCCTACTGGCTCACTCGGGGTAGCAGGAAAGAGGACTTCAGATGCAACCTATGACTCACATGCAGATTATGTTCTTTGTCGCGAGCGTGAACCCTGAACCTTGTTATAGTTGGCATTCTTGGGTAAAGGGGTGCACCTGCGGTAAGGATGCAGGAAGACAAGAAACATTGGCAAAAAGCGACTGCCGGAGGCCCTCGGACCTTACCGTGAATGCCTGCATACCTCAAACATGTTATCAGGAAAGATCAGTCCCCGAATAAGGACATCATACTTGGTAGAAAGTCAGCGAAAAAGCGGATCAAGATATGGACTGCCACAGAACTGCAACAACGGACTCAGTCATAGGTACATAGAGGACTTTCATTTTGCTGTATATGAGTCAGAAAGGCAATCTGGTGGCGTGGACCTTAGGGAGTTGCATTGCCAGCAGCTCTTAAGACTGAGATGGGCAGTTTTCTCCCATAACATTTATGTCCTATGAAAAGCTGCTGGAGGGTCTGCTGAGTCAGTTAAGCTGGACAACAATGAGTTGAGTAGCAACCAACTCAATATCACCTAACAACATTATAAGCGCTTCAGGGTAACATAGTAATTAGGTGCCAGGATTTCAGACTCAAAGTGACCTGATAGACAACAGAATTGCCTGAGGGTTTCCTAGGCCACAGTCAAAGGGATCAGGAGGTGCCTTTCACCCACAGAGCAAATGGGAGGGTTTGACCTACATTTGAACTATTTTAGGGAGTCACTGAATAAATTTACCCTTCAAAGGTCTACTGGTTGTCATCATCTCCAGGAAGCCTTCCAGGCTTCCTCAGTACTCCCAAGTGCAAAGTCCTGCATGGCCCCCTAGCCCTGACACAGTGGAAGTAGCAACATCTTGAGCACAAAAGACCTTGGAACAGGCTAGCGAGTCCAGTAGGTTCTGGTGCTTCAGGCTCCCTTCGCCTGCCACCATTGTAACTCCACTTGCCCACGCAAACTCTGGTGCATCTTCAAAAAGCCCTCGGCCTAATATATAGGCTTTAGGACCATGCGGAACCAGTTCCAGCCCACCGGAACCCTACAGCCACATTTCCCCCGCGAACTCCAAGTCCCACAATTTCTCAGTTTATTTTAGTCCATCGGTATTGGGTGACGTCATCTAACTGAGGCTGCAGCCAGGCCAATGAACGGTCACGAGGTGGTAGGACCTGGCCATATAAGGCAAACAAAACTGTTGGACCAATGAGGCAGTGGCGGGGGCGGGCGCGGGCCAGAAGCGGTCCAGGGCGCATCACGTGGTGGGCGGAGGCGGAGCCAGGAGAGAGGAGGTTGAGCATTGCGAGCAGTGCTTTTAACCCGGTACATGGTGTTTCCGGTTGCCTTAGGGCGCGGAACGACGCTTTTAAGGGCTGAGACACTATCAAGGGCACGGGACAAGCCCAGTATCTTTGGCTTTGGCCTTTGCTCTCTCTAGGACCTGAATTTGTATACCGAAGCATCTAATTCTTAAAAAGACTGATGTGGCGAGCTCTGGTGGCCTAGTGGCAGGAAACTGCACTGCAATCCCAGAGGTGCGTGATTCAAATCCACCAGATGCTCTGCTGAAGAAGGAGGAACAGTCGCCTCCTGTACCAGTTAGATCCAATTTGACGGTACACACATTAAAAAAAAAAAACAAAAAAACACAAAAAAACCAGTAAAATTAAAAAAAGACTGATGTGGCGTTGGATGTGGGTGGGGTGACGATGTTAAAATCCCTGAGAAGAAATGTCTTAAAGGAGCAGGTATTGGCCATGGGAGTGGATTGAAGAATTATATATAGTATAAAAATATATAATACATATTATATAATAATATCTATATGGTTCAAAATTGGGAAGGGCGTATGCCAGGGATGCATCCTATCTCCATACCTTTACAACCTATATGCAGAACAGATTATCCGGGAGGCTGGGCTCTATGAGGAGAAATGTGGGGTCAAGATTGGTGGACGATTTATCAACAATCTGCGTTAT